TGATAGGAGTATTAACAATAGTGTACAGACTTTGAGCCTCATCCAAGCCCACATGCAGAGATGCATCAGCCAGCTTAGGGCCGTACATTTTCTGGATTGCTTTGAATGTCCTATTTGTGCTGCCCAGGCCCCCTCATGGTCCTCTTTACCACTCTGCTTGAGCTGATGAAGGAAGGTTCTGGAACTTCTGGCAGCTCTGGCTTCTTGCAGGGACCCCATTTCTCCCATGCTTCCTCTCTCCTTGGGAAACCCCTTCTTCCCTGTCTGTGTGGTGCCTGGCAGTGCTTCCCCATGGGACCAGGCCTGGTTCTCTTTGTAGACAACTATAGGGACCAAGGGCCGGCTGCCCCCAGAAGTGCCACTTTGATATATTGGATATTTTAAGTAAAAGTTACTTAAGAGACAGCCTATTCAAGAAGGACCCTCCCCCTGAAAGCAGAATAAATCTCCTGTGTGAAAGGCATCCTCCCTGTATCAGGAAGTCAGAGACACCCTTATCACCAGAGGTGGGAACTTTAGAGCGAGAAACTCTGTATAAACAACCCTTGTTATTTTTTACTCATTTACTCCCCCAGCCCAAATTCTGCTTAGAATTCCTCACTAATCGAGGCTCCCAAATTAAGTTTTCTTTGTCCTGTCAATTCCTCACAGATTTACTGTCTCTAAAAAAAAAAAGTATAAAGACTTCCTGCCTTGGTCATTTCTTTAGATCTCAGTTTCACTAGACCCAGACTGTGCACTGGGTCTCCCTGTGCACATGATAAAACCTTGATTCCCCTGCCCCGCCCCCCCCCCCTTAATCTGTCTCATGCAAATTTAATTCTTGGTCCAGCCAGGAGACCTTGAGGGTAGTGGGAGAATGTTTCCTTCCCTTCATGACACATGGGCTCCCACTGCATCCCAGACTCACTCTCCACAGCCCAGATGCCCATTTTTGTTCTCCTTGTCCCTTGGCAAGTCTGTGTCCACCTCTGGGCTGACTGGCAGCTCCCTGGGAGTTGCTGGGTTTGGGTGATTTTCAAGCCCTGCTTTGATCAGAACCAGCACTTCCAGTCCCATACATGCCCACAGGCACACAGACTGTGGTCAATGCTTTGACTCCTTTTCCTTTTTTTTTTTTTTTTTTTTTTAATGTTTATTTAGTTTTGAGAGAGGGAGAGAGAGAGACAGAGCTCAAGCTGGGGAGGGTCAGAGAGGGAGGGAGACACAGAATCCGAAGCAGGCTCCAGGCTCTGAGCTGTCAGTACGGAAGCCCAACGTGGGGCTCGAACTCACGAACTGTGAGGATCATGACCTGAGCCGAAGTTGGACGCTCAACTGACTGAGCCACCCAGGTGCCCCTATTTTCCACTCACTCTGCTCTCTGGGGGGTCAGGATGCTGAGGCTCCCCCATGTTGCCATCCGTACATCTTTTTTATTTATCTGACATCAGACACTTGTGTTCTCTGGGTCTGAGTTTTCTTATTCATAAATGTTGGGAAGGAGGAGTGTGGAGAGGATGATTTTCTAAGGTTCCTTCTATCTCTGAAGGTCTGCACCTCACTAGTAAATCAAAGAGCACCCCCCCCCCCCATCCCAGCCCTGCACACTGCTTGGCTCCTCCCCGTCCAGAAGCCCGACTGCCCTGGCCATTAGCTTTACTAAGCTGCTGTTTCGGCTCCCATTTTGACTGGGCCTGGATGGGCTATCTAACTTCCAGAAAGCCAGCAGTAACCAAAACAACAGTCGGCTTAGGGTCTCTGGGGAAGCCAAACTGGGAACCCATCTTCCATCTCCAGGGCAAGGGAGAACATTCGTTACTTTAAAAGACTGATTTTGGGGGCGCCTGGGTGGCGCAGTCGGTTAAGCGTCCGACTTCAGCCAGGTCACGATCTCGCGGTCCGTGAGTTCGAGCCCCGCGTCAGGCTCTGGGCTGATGGCTCAGAGCCTGGAGCCTGTTTCCGATTCTGTGTCTCCCTCTCTCTCTGCCCCTCCCCCATTCGTGCTCTGTCTCTCTCTGTCCCAAAAATAAATAAACGTTGAAAAAAAAAAAAAAGACTGATTTCATGGGACACCTGGGTGGCTTAGTCGGTTGAGCATCCGGCTCTTGATTTCTGCCCCGGGCTGGGGTCTCACAGTTTGTGAGTTCGAGCCCCATGTCAGGCTCTGTGCCGACAGTGCAGAGCCTGCTTGGGAATCTCTCTCTCTCTTCCTCTCTCTCTGTGCCACCTCCCCCCCCTTCTCTCTCTGAAAATAAATAAATTAAAAAAAAAAGATTTATTTCTCTTGTTACAGGCAGGTTATTTTGCCACTGTAGGCCTAACCCATAAAGATCATGAGAATTTAACTTGCGTGATTGCTTTGGGCTTTATTATACCTCGCTTCTTGGAGTTGTTACGGAGGTTGATACCGAGATTCAACAGAGCATAGTCAGATGAATGCGCTAACTGTATACCACAGAAGGGTCTGAAATCTATTAAGAACCGGGGAGTATGGTCAAATTCCTCAGCTCTCCATTTCCAGCCCACTGGAGACTCCCCATGATGAGGTCCAGCTTTGGCCCCTGGTGGCCCCAGGGTTTGAGAAGAGGTGGTCAAGGTGCACCCTGGCCACACCTCTTTGGCAAACAAGAAGGAGCCTGGGGACAACCCAGTACTAGCCCTTCTGTGGCTTAGGGAAGAAACAACCTTGATGTACTTGCTTTGCTGTATAGGGGCCGAGGGCAGGGCCGAGGGCAGGCCTTGCCAAGATGGGCCACTTTGGCACGGAGATTACCTTGAGTTAAAAAGCAGTTGGGGCTCCTGGGTGGCTCAGTTGGTTAAGTGTCCAACTTCGGCTCAGGTCATGATCTTGTTGCATCCACACGACTACTGAAACAGAATGCTAGGGGCACCAGTGACAGTCACAACAAAGTTTATCGCAATGAGAGGCAAGGCCGACCGATCGGGACCAACACTTTTGATCAGAGTGCAGCCTCAAACAGCCGGGGTACAGAGTTTTTATAGCCGATCACATCGTTTTATCATCACCTGGGAACAGAACAAAGAAATAGTTCCCAGCTGAGTTAGAAACAGTTCCCGGATGGGGTGATTATTTTAGACTTTCTGCCGTTAAGTTGCAACCAGTGGATCTCCTTGACCCTGCCTCTGATGTTTTGAACTTTTGTTTCCTTAGCTGGTGAAGCCTAATTTACAAGAGTATGAAGTGTAATTTACAAGAGTAAAGAAAGGCTGTTATCTCTTAACCTTCAGTGTCAAAACGAAGCTGTTATCTCTCCTGCTACAGGTTAGCCCTACACTACAGTTTAACCCTTACAATCTCGTGGTTTCTGAGTTTGAGCCCCGCCTCGCGCTCTGTGCCGACAGCTTGGAGCCTGGAGCCTGCTTCAGATTCTGTGTCTCCCTCTCTCTCTCTCTGCTCCCTCCCCCACTTGTGCTCTCTCTCTCTCTCTCTCTCTGTCTCTCTCACAAAGATAAATAAACATTTAAAAAAATGCAGTAAAGGGGCGCCTGGGTGGCGCAGTCGGTTAAGCGTCCGACTTCAGCCAGGTCACGATCTCGCGGTCCATGAGTTCGAGCTCCGCGTCAGGCTCTGGGCTGATGGCTCAGAGCCTGGAGCCTGTTTCCGATTCTGTGTCTCCCTCTCTCTCTGCCCCTCCCCCATTCATGCTCTGTCTCTCTCTGTCCCAAAAATAAATAAACGTTGAAAAAAAAAATTAAAAAAAAAAAAATAAATAAATGCAGTAAAAAACCCCAGCAGATTCAGGAGAAGGTTTTTACCTCCCCTACAACTGCCTAAGAGAATTCAGCCTAAAAGCTCCAGGAGAGCAGAGAGCTGCATAATAATATGGATGGGGAGGCATGGTGCACGGTGGACAAGAGGGACCCGGCAAGACCTGTTGGATCAAAGTCCTCTACGTGCCATCGTTTCTGAGTGGCCCAGCAAACACTTATTTACCAAACATTAACTAACTCTTTGGCATCTTCCTCTGAATTGCATTTTCTTTTCCCTTTAAGCCCCAGACTCCTCCCTACCCCGTTTTCCTTAGTTCAGAATGACATACACACCTCACTTTGCCTGACTGTCTTTGCAATTTCCAAGTCTGCCTGGATGCCCCGTGTGTACAAAAGCAAATTTGATCTCCTGTTTATCGGCCTCGTGTTACTTTGATTTTTAGTCTGGCTAGAGGGACTTGAAGGGCAGAGGAAATTCTGTGTCGCCGACAGTTGGAGGCTGTCTGTAGGTAAAGGGGAGTTGAAGCTGATTTGGGCTGTTTTTTTCCAGCCAAAGCAGGAGGCCTTCAGGCATTCGCTGGGCGCTGGGCAAGACAGACCCTATCTGAGTGTGCAAACCCTGTCTTCCGAACCAACATGGATGTCCCTGTGACTTAGAGAAGGCTTGTGCAACACCCTGGGGCAGCCCTTCCTTCCGAGGGGACCACAAGGAGATAGGAGGCTAGAGGGTCGGGGTAAGGGCTGCTTATAACCATCATGTGCCAAAACTAAGTGCCATGATCGTTCCGGTCCTTAAGCTCTGTTCTACCTTTCAGTTTGTTCTCTTGTTTTGCCAGCAAGAACCAACCGCCAAACACAATCCAAGAGGCCATCTTCTGATTTTAGGAGAAAAGGGGGGCTGGGGATCAGTTTGCTGATAACGATCCCAGGCCAGAAAGTCCATGGGACTCCCATCCCCAGGTGAACCAGGAACATTCTGAGCTGGTTTCTGGAAGAATGATCTATCCTCTGGTTCCGTGGTTCCCAGACGTTGGGATCTTTGGCAGAAAAATGGCAGAGTGAATTTGGAGGGTTGTCTTAGACGTAACTCTTCCAGATACCTCCACCCACGCTGTTATCACCAGAGGTTCATAAAAGATGAGGGGTTTCATTCCAGAAAAGGGCACAGGACACAAGCTCAATAAAGTGTGATCCCTTACAATCAATCAAATTCAGATTTATGACAATTTCATTATATTATTTGTATTTTCTCAGTCTGATGGACTGATTTTTCTTAATTTCTACAGGCTCATGGACAGATATTATCTACATTTGTGAATCACAGCTCTGTGTGGCTCAGCAGAGACGCAAATGAAAAAAATCTGGTGAGATTTTTGTTTTTTCTTTTAAAAGTTTATTTATTTTGAGAGAGAGAAAGAGCAGGGGAGAGGCAGAGAGAGAGGGAGGGAGAGAGAATCCCAAGGAGGCTACGCACTGTCCGGGCAGAGCCTGACACGGGGCTCGAACTCGTGAGCCATGAGATCATGACCTGAGCTGAAATCAAGAGTCGGACGCTCAACTGACTGAGCCATCCAGGTGCCTCTGGTGAGATTTTTGAAGAGACAAATGGGAAGCTGTTTGCTTAGGAGAAAAGCTTGAGGAGTTTCTTTAGCCAGAAACTGCCATGTAGAGTCCTTGGGTTGAGAAAACTCTTCTTGAACTGTTCCAGATTCCCCAAGGTGATGACCTTAAACCAACAAACTGGAGGGAATCAGTTGGCATTTATTGTTTACATACCTTTTAGGGAGTTTGCCAGTTTGTGGGATTATTTGTCACAAAGTCAGCTGGAGAAGAAAGATTAATAATGACCTGCCTACCTACAAATTGGTTAGAAAATGGCTTGTTAGAATTCGAATCCTCAAAATTCTAGGTAGGGAAACCTCCCTTAATTCTGGAAAGGAATACCAAACCACCACTTGGCTCTCACATTCCTGGAGGCAGGTCTGACTCAGAAAAGGATACCTAGGCGACATCATGTTAGTTTTGTAAAGAAAAGAGAGACACTCTACTATATACAAGGGCAAAAGTTTGGGGTGGATGTGAGTGGTGTCCAGTTAACCCTGGACCGAGCCTCGCCGCCACAGGACCATCCCTCTGCCTGAATTGATCTCCGTGAATTGCACAGAATCATCTGCTGGTGGAAACCAACCAGCAGCTGTCACAATGCCCCGCAGGACTTGGAGGTCAGAGCTGAACTGACCAGAGTCAGGGGTGGGAAGAGAATGGCACCCAGAACTTTGGGGTCACTTCTTGATGCTGGAGGGGTCAAGCAAGACTCTCTCTCAGTGACCATGGAAGGCAGATGGCTTCGGTTAGAGCCCCGGCTCCTCACAAGAGCCTGGAACAGGAAACGGACAAGGGTCAGAAAGAGTCCACCTTCTAGTTAGAAGGGACCTTAGGCAGATCAGAGGAGCCTGTAGGGGCAGGCGAGCCATACAGGGTCCCTCATTCATTCATTCATTCATTCATGCACGCGTTCAGCAGACCTATAGCACAAATGATACATAGTCATTCACTCATTCACTCAAGTGACAGGTGCTGGATAAACAGTGGGGGGCAGGGTAAAAAGGCCAGTGGTCTGGCAAGACTTTGCTGGGGGCGGGGCATGAAGTTGAGACCCGTGGGTCTGAGTCGTTAAGGGCACGTAAGTTCAGGAGAAAAAAAAATTCTTTTTATGGAAAATACTAGAGTATGTTTGCAAATTGACGGCAGCTATCCGGTGGAGAGGGCCAGAATAAGGGCGCAGGAAGGAGTGTAACGGAAGGGCAGAGTCCCTGCTAAGGTGAGTGGAAGAGGGGAGAGTCCATTGCACTTGAGGAAGGACTTAGACTTTTATAGACCTAGAGACCGCGCTGCCACTGCAGAGGGAGGGAGGGAGGGAGGGGAGAGGCGACAGGAGCAGTGGCTTCGATTGCACTTTGCACGGAAAGCATGAGCCCAGATCCTCTGCACAAAGGGGAGGTAGGAAGAAGGAAGAGGGTTGAGAAGTGAGGGAGGGAAGAGACAGCATACCTAGAAGAACACAGCAGGATGGCTATGCAATGGGGGGGGGGAGGGGGCGTGGGGCTGGAGGGTAACTAATGATCCATGGATCCATCCATCTTGAATTTGCCAGGTGCCTCTCTGTGCAGTTGGGGATTTTACTCCAATGACCCTCACCTTGAAATGCAGGCTCAAGGAAGGTGGAAAGGGGGCCTATTTGGCATTCTGGGGGTTGCCAGGAGGCTGACATGGAGGGTGGAAAGGGGACCGTGCTTGTGCCGAGCCATGGAATCTAAAAGAAGCTGAGAGGAACGTGAAGACACGAGGCAGGGGATGACAAAGAGGACCTGGCGAGGGGCAGTGCGTTATTGGCCTGCTGGACCCGAGGCGCCTTCTTCCGAGGGGCGTTGCTTTTTTTTCTTTTTAATGTTGATTTATTTTTGAGCGAGAAATAGCTTGAGCGGGGGCGGGGCAGAGAGCGAGTGGGGGACAGAGGATCCAAAGCCGGCCTCGGGCTGACAGCACACAGCCCGATACAGGGCTCAAACTCACGAACCGTGAGATCCCCACCGAGCTGAAATTGGACGCTCAACCAACTGAGCCACCCAGGCGACCCCATGGAGCATTTAAGCGAGGGAGCTTACAGGTATAGTCAGAGCGTAAACTTTCCCATTCCTGATTTTGGAGACAGAGGTTTCTGGTGAATGCAAAACACGAAGGTGAGGAAGGAAGGGAATTCTAACATGGGCTACACCAGGAATGGACCCTAGGGACCTTATGCCGAGGGACGCAAGCTGGACCCAGAAGGAGGAAGACCGTATGAGTCCACTTATGTGGGGGCACCTGGAATCATCAGATCCACAGAGGCAGAACGTCAAAGGCTGGCTGTGGGGGGGCTGGGGTGGGGGCAGAGGGTTGGGGAGTTAGGCTTGAATGGGGACAGGTTCAGTTGGGGAAGAGGGAAGGAGTCTGCAGACAGATGGCGGTGAGGGCGGTACAAAATGCGGATGTACTTAACGTCACCAAAACGGTTAAGGAGGGCACGTTTGATGTTGTGTGTATTTTACCACAGTAAAAAAAAAAAAAAAAAAATCCACGTGTGACCATAGAGTGGGCGGCCGACGAAAAGGTCCTCAGCAATGAGGTGGCCACAGAAACACGCAGGGGTGCAGGCTCTGAGAAGGGCGGCAGGGCAGGGTTGGAGACGGAGGCTGTGGTCCAGGAGCTGCAGGGTCCCATGAACAAGAGGTGGGTAGAGGCCGGCGGCTGAGTGTGGGCGCGCGCGCCGCGCCACTCGCCAGGAGGGCGGGGGGGGGACAGCCGTCTGCATGTTGTGATTGGGGAGCATGGACGATGCCCACCCGGCCCTGGCTCGTGAAGGGGAGAGAAGGAACACAGCCAGTTGAGAGGTGGCAGGAGACTTTGGGACAAGCCCAATGCAAGTTAGGTCAAGTGGGCAGAGGGAACTGTCTGAGAAAGACTGAGGATATTGGGGTGCCCCCGGGCTGCAGCAGGAGGAGAGGGGTGGTTATGGGGAACGCTTGGTTCAGCAGGGAATTGCGGGTTTCAGAGATCCGCGGGACGGCCCCAATCTTCTGGTACCCAAGTGTTGAGCCAGGGTGTTGGAGGCCTAGTGAAACGCACCACCTCCCCAGGAAGAAGCCTCAGAGCTCAGGGCCACCACTGTCATCTGGAAGGTTCTGCTTCAAGGCCGGGGGGTGCAGGGGATTTAGAAGCAGTGGAGAATCCTGTGGTCCCCAGAGGGCTAGACGCAGGCCCCCAGAGGACCTCCACTCTCCCAGTAAGCTCGGACGTGAACTCAGAGGCAACACAGTTCCCCCAGAGAGCCCAACCAGGCCTCTGTTTGCTAGACCTGACGGAGGCTGACATGCTCATTTTATGCATGGGGAAGCTCACGTTTTGTGGGGACAAAATATATTCTCAGGCCAGGCTGGGGCTGAAATTCAGATTTCCTGTCCTCCAGGCCGCCATGGACCCTCTGCTACCTTAGGCTCCAGTGGGGAGGCAGAGAAGGGCTGAGTATGCCCACAACTGCCCTTTAGGGTTGGCGGTAGAGAATGGGGCAGGCAGGGAAACTGCGTAAAAGGAGAGAGGGTGGAGGGCGCCTGGGTGGCTCAGTGGGTCGAGCGTCCAACTTCGGCTCAGGTCACGATCTCACGGTTCGTGGGTTCCAGCCCCGCGTCGGGCTCTGTGCTGACAGCTGGGAGCCTGGAGCCTGTTTCGGATTCTGTATCTCCCTCTGTGTCCCTCCTCTGCTCATGCTCTCCGTCTCTGTTTCAAAAGAAAGAAAGGGAAGGAAGGAAGGAGGGAGGGAGGGAGGGAGGGAGGGAAGGAAGGAAGGAAGGAAGGAAGGAAGGAAGGAAGGAAGGAAGGAAGGAAGGAGAGGGTGGGAAGGAGAAGGCAAAGGAAAGAATGGGAGGCTGGGGAGAGGCTAGGTGGGAACCAGGCTGGCTGTCTCAGTGCCCTCTGATCAGCCCTGGAGGCTGTGGAACGGGTCAGGCAAGCCACTTTCCCTCCTCCTCCCGAGAAAGTTCAAAGGCTCTAAGCTTGTGGGTGGACCAGTTCCCCTGCAGTGGAACTGTCTTTCTACAAAAAGGGTACGAAGGCAGGCAGCCTTGTCCGCTAATACTGGAGAAAGTTCTGAGAACAGTGTGAACCCGCAGAAGCCAGTTCCTTTCCCTCCTGGCTGAGGGCGTCTAAAAACCAACCATGCAGTTAAATACAGGGCCACCTCTCCTCGGGGGCCCGGCGCCGGCTCTTCAACAGTGGATGACAGTATTCAGGACAGGGACACTTTGGAAACTTTATATTGCTAGAAAGGGCTGCTTGTAGGCAATCATGATGTGAATATTCGATGCATGTGGAAAATATAACAGGGCTGCAGCTGAGAAGGATTTTTACAGTCTCCGTTGTGTCCAACTCTGAGCAGCCTCTGGATTTCTCGAATGTTTGGGATGGCTGCCCATCTGGCACATACGAAGAATAATGTGTATCCCCACCCAGTGGCGATGCCTGGGAGCGCCTTTCTTTTAAGGAGTTGGATGCTTCCTGGCTCATCCTCTGGCCATGGGTTATGGGCTGAGTTGTGTCTTTGTCTCCCAAATTTATATGTTGCATTCCTGACTCCCAGTACCTCATAAGATGATGACTGTATCTGGAGACAGGGTCTTTCAAGTGGTAACGAAGCGGTGTCTGGGTGGCTCCGTTGCTTGAGTGTCTGACTTCAGCTCAGGTCATGATTTCCTGGTTTGTGAGTTCGAGCCCTGCATCGGGCTCTCTGCTGTCAGTGTGGAGGCCGCTTCAGATCCTCTGTCCCCCTCTCTGTCTCTGCCTCTCCTCTGCTCACACATGCTCATGCTCTCTCTCTCTCTCTCTCTCTCTCTCAAAAATAAACACATTAAAAAAAAATCAAGTGGTAATGAAGAGTCGGTCACTAGGGTGGGCCCTAATTCAATATGACTGGTGTCCTTATAAGAAGAGGAGATTAGGACACAGAGACCCACCCAGAGGGATGGCCATATGAAAACATGGGGAGAAGACGGCCATCTGTAAGCCAAGGAGAGAGACCTCAGAAGAGACCAACCCAGCTGACACCTTGATCTTCGACTTTAGCCAAAAAAACCATGAAACAATTAATTTCTGTTGTTTATATCAAACCAGTCTGTGGTACCCTGTAATGGCAGTGTGGGGAAACTCACACGCTGTGTCCAGCAACACTTTATTGAGTGGGCAAAGGGGCTGTTTCTTGGGACATACCTCTTTCTAGGAACCATGGGGTGGGAGGCATGGCCTGGGAGAGCTGTCTGAATGGAGCTTTATGTTGAAGGAGACACATTCTTCCCTGACTCTCTGATTCCCTCTGAACACACTTTTGCGAGAAGGTGATGTGGCCAAGGTCAGGGTCAGAGGCGTATATCCTCCTTTTCCTAGATGCCTCATGTCTGGTTCTATGAGATGGGAAGGGCCTGCCATATCGTTGACGTCCTTGTAAGGACTTCTAAAAATGTAGTTTAGATCCCTTTAAAAAATGCCAACAGGGGTGCCTGGGCGGCTCAGTCGGTTAGGCATCTGACTCTTGACTTCAGCTCAGGTCACAATGTCATGGGTCACCAGATCAAGCCCCACATGGGGCTCTCCGCTGATAGCCCAGAACCGGCTTGGGTTTCTCTCTCTCCCTCCCTGCCCCTAGCCCGCTTGCCCATGCGCTCTCTCAAAATAACTAAACTAAAAAACAAAACAAAACAAAATGCAAACAAAAAACTAAGCCGCGTAAAGCGACGCAGGCTTTTTACCGCAGAGCTCAGGAATCTCTAATTCTTTCCGGAGCAGCCACAGACACACGTGGTCTTCAGCTGAGCCCATGGGGTTCCAATGATTCACGCAAGAATAGAAGTTTTGGGGCTGGGCCCCAGGAGGGGCCGGAGCCCAAGGGGAGATGTTCTGAGTGGCCACGGGCAGCCCGAATAACCTAGCCGCCTCGCCTCGTCATCACGGCCCTGGCTGCCGGCCAAGCCCCGGGCAGAGTAATGACTAACTGGGCTTCCTCCGGGAGGGCGGAAACAGTTCAACTCCTGTGACAGCTGCAGTCAGTTAGGCGTGGTTTTCTCGTCTGACTCGGGCTGTGCAGATCCCGGCCGAGGGGCAGAGGAAGGACAGCCTCGCCGCCAGAGTCTTCCAGATGGCCGAGCTGGACCTCATGGCTCCAGGGCCACTGCCCGGGATCAGCGCTCACCCTCTGGCCACTGTCAGCCCAGACTCTGGGTCGGCCAGCCCGGCTGAAGAGGACACGGGCTCCCTGGGGAGCCCCCAGGGGGAGCCAGAGGCACAGGACGGCGGCTCTGAAGGGCAGGGGGCTCCAGATAGCGCCGCTGCTGGGGAGGAAGAGGAGGAGGAGGAGGTCCTATGTGACTTCTGTCTCGGCACCTGCAGGGTGAAGGCGGTCAAGTCCTGCCTGACCTGCATGGTGAACTATTGTGAGGAGCACCTGCGGCCTCACCAGGAGAACAGCAAACTGCACAGCCACCAGCTGACCGAGCCCGTGAAGGACCGGGACCTGCGCACCTGCCCTGCCCACCGCAGCCCGCTGGTCGCCTTCTGCTGCCCCGATGAGCAGTGCGTCTGCCAGGAGTGCGGCCAGGACGAGCACAGGGGCCACGCCTTGGTCTCCTTGGATGCCGCCCGCAGGGACAAGGAGGCGAGTGCTGGGGTCCATCCAGGGGAGGGAGGTGGGGAGATGGTGTCCCGGGGAGAGGCTAGACCCCCCCACCCCCACCCCGCATTGCAGCTCCTGGGGCTGCCGACTTCACTATGGCTGTTGGTCCAGCGTAAATACCTATTGCACTTGCCCTTGGGCACTTGGAACAGGTCACTCTGGTCCTGTCTCCCTCCCGCCGTCCCCATGCTGGGTGTGTGTGTGTGTGTGTGTGTGTGTGTGTGTGTGTGTGTGTGTGCGCGTGTGCGTGTCCACGCTTGCTAGCTTGCTGCCATTTCTCAGCTTTCTGCAGTGGATCTGCGTTTGGGTGCAGTGTGCTGGCGTTGGAGAGCTTTGGGCAGTGACGTCTCCTTCTGGCTGGATCTGTGTGGCAAGTAATGAAATGCACACCTTGGCAGAAGTTCAAGAGAGAGAAAAAAAAAGTCAAACCTTTCGCCTGATTTCTCTTTTCCCCTTTACCCCACCCGGGAGACCAGTAGAAAGTGCCCCTCTAGAGACCCCCGGTGTGAAGTCTGATCTGAGAGCTTAAAAAAATGCCAAGGTAGCATAGAATTGGACACTTACCTTCAGGTCCGATGTCAAGGACGGCTTAACTGAGGGAAAATGGAAGTTCCTCATCAGATAGGGGCGCCAGGAGAGGCTGAGAGACACCACGCACAGAGCCTGTAATTTTATTCCCATCAGATAGAGAGACTGTTTCTAGAACAACTGGCTTTTCTTTGCCCTAAAGCTGATAGCCTGGAGAAGTTCTTGAGAATGGGTTTAGTTACTGTGTATTCTTCGTTTCTCATACTTTGACTCTCCATGAGCGCTTTTTTATTTTTTTTTCCTTCAGTAGGGAAGTGCAGTTGACTTTTCTCCCACATTCCTTATGTTCATACTGCTGACAGCTCCTTGTTTACACTACACAGGGCGGGAGACCCACCGCAACTCCTCCTCAGTCCAATGTTCCTGGGCAGCAAAGGGAAGGGCTTTCTGGGAAGAACGCTTTACTTGCCAGGGTCCCTCCTCCGTGTCCTTTCTCAGGCACAGATTTTCTCCAGGGTTAGTGGGAATTGTTCTGGAAAGCTCTGTAGCCCAGGGGTCAATGAGTCACCATCTCCAGCTCAGGAAGGCACTTGCCAAGTGCCTCCAGTGTTTCCAGGGTTAGAGAATGTCAAGTCAGGAAAGCAGGTCACTGCCACTCATGACCAGGATGAATGAGGCTCTTTCGTAATCCTGGAGAGGCTCTCTATCAACAGGTCAAAGGAAAAAGCTCTACATAGTTGAGCCAAGTGGGCTTCAGTAAGTATTGCCGTGTGCTAAACACTCTGTAGATTTTCTCCTCCAATCCTCAGATCACTCTATGGGGTGTCATTTCTTTTTATCACCTCCACGTTTTCCCAGACTCATACAGGCAACTGAGTCATGGGATGAGGCGTGGAAGCTTTTGGGAAGCCACCCTACTCGGGGAACATGAGTGAAGGACCCTAACCAAGATCACAATATTGTAACTTTCTGTTTGGTACCGAAATCCTGCCACACATACAGTAGAGATATTAGTACAAAGGGTCCCGCTGTTCTCCGTGGGTATAAATGTCTGGATATTGTTATATTTACCTGGAAAAAGTGATGGGTGTACATGTTGAAAACCAGTCTCCACCAAAGGTTGCAATAGACCATATCAGGAAAAGGTCTCCCTCCCATCCTGGATCCCCTCGCTTCCTTCCTCAGTTAAACACTACTATCTCGACTTTCTTCTGTTTCCTTTCAGAAATATTCTGTGTCTGTATTGGCAAGGGATACAATATGGATATTAAAAAAATTTTTTTTTTAAAGTTTATTGAGAGAGGTAGAGATAGAGAGACTGAGAGTGGGAGAGGCAGAGAGAGAGAGAGAGAATTCCAGGCAGCCTCCATACCATGTGTGGGGTTGGAACTCATGAACTGTGAGATCATGACCTGAGCCTAAAGCAAGAGTTGGACACTTAACCAACTGAGCCACCCAGGTGCCCCGCAATCTGGCTTTTAAACAATGAAAACTGGTGCACCACAGGGAGGGTAATTGTAGTTCCGAGCAGGGAACAGTTGCGTAAAGCGTGTTTGGAACCCTGGATTCAGACATCCTAGGGGAGAGCTGTGTAAGGTGAAATAAAAACTTGGTAGAGGAGCTCTAGAGTCATTTTTTTGGTGCCGAAAAGCCGTCACGGTTACAGGTACAATGCAACAGCCCCACCCCCCAGACTTGTGGTAAAGGCCCCAGTTCAAAACCTCCGCCTTGCCGGTCTGCACGACAGAGCTCTTGTCCTTTCCATCCTGTGCCCTTGTTTTCAGCTCAGAGAGCAAGCCTACGTCCTAAGTGCAGCCAGACTCTTGTTGGCTCTACCAAATCTTAGGAGCCAAAAGCTTTCTCGAAAGGAGCCCAAGAGACCAGCCCAGAAGACCCAGTGGCTTGATGAGGCTGTAACCGCCACTGGGACTATTTTGAAAGTTGTACTTGACATCATTAAGGTTCCAGAAGCTTGGTATGCCCTTCAGCTAGCGCCGGCCTGATGGAGTCCTTTGCAGTGAAGGTCACTTTGGGTAGTGCTGAGGGCTAATTACTGAAGCAGGCACATTGTTTCAGGAAAGTGCAAACGGCTGGGTCAGCCACGAGGACACAAAAGCAGCTGAGATCCTGCATCAGAGTGACAGAGCCACCGATTTCTCCGTTAACCAAGGGAGCCCCTGCTGAGGCTCCTCGGGTCCCCGGCTACGCCAGTGGGGGCAAAACCTCAGAATTCGGGGAGTTGGGTGTTCTTTGTTATATGTTCTGTCCTGCTGGGCTTCCAGAGCCCGGCTCTTCCTGATGGGGACCCCTCGACACTTCTCTCCGCCCCGGGCCGGCTTCCTGAGGCCTCTCAGTGCAGTTGGCCTTGTGCACCGGCTGCTGATTTCCCGTACCTTCTCTGAATCACGGGCATGCTGCTATGAGAACGAAACTGGGTGCATGCGTGCGTGCATGCGTGCGTTCATGCGTGTGTGCATGCCTGGTGAACACTTCCTGACCCAGGAAGTGCACGTGCTTCTTTCCTGTTCTCCCTCAAGCTTATCAAACCATCATTGATTGCTTCCTATGGGCTAAGCGTGAGACCACACTGTCTGTCCTCGGGGAGCTTGGACTCTAACGAGGAAGCCAAGGAATGTTCCACGGCTCCCTGGAGTGCCAGAGGGCTGAGGCAGCAGAACAGCTACATGTTCCAAGGACGGAGTTGTCACCAGGAATGAGGCCAGGGCAGGGTTCTCAGAGAGGGGGACGTCTGTCTTGGATCATGCGTCCACTAGTGACAGGCCATTACATTCAGCCTCAGCATTGGTTCCAGAAAGTTCAGGACTGGACATGGCCCACAGACAGTCTCCAGGTAGAGCAGGAGCCAAGTTTCTGTGAGCCACACGAACCAGCATTGTCCTCGGCCCATTCTCCGGTAGCCAAAAGGCAGATGATTGGAGGCCACTCAGGAAAAGAATTTCTTCTGGAAGTTCTGAGAAATGTTTTGGACTCAGTATTATTACATAACTTGTTTTTCCTTAGACATTCTACCAGGGTGTATATCTCAGGGAGGATGTTCTGTTTGGCTGGACTGGCGTGTAGTAGGTTCTGACCAATCCACTGAGGAATGAAGTCAGCCCGGGTAGAACTCTTGTGCTACCAAGTGCAAACTCTCCAGAACAACCAACCAACGTTGTGTGGATGGAAATACAAAGGAACCGACACCACCTGGAATTTTCTTCTCCCTTCACCTTCCCTCCGCTATTCCTACCTGCACCTCTGACCTGAAGTCTGACCCCTGAGCTCTGGGTGCTACCTTCCACAAGAACAATTCTGTTAACCTATTCTTGTGGCCCTGAACCAGAGGAGAAGCTAAATGATCTGACAGGGAGGGACGCCGGGGTGGCTCAGTCAGTTAAGCATCCAACTTCAGCTCAGGTCATGATCTCACAGTTCGTGAGTTCGAGCCCCACATCAGGGTCTGTGCTGACAGCTCGGAGCCTGGAGCCTTCTTCGGATTCTGTGTCTCCCTCTCTCTCTGCCCCTCCCCTGCTCGCGCTCCGTCTCTGTCTCTGTCTCTGTCTCTGTCTCTCTCTCAAAAAGAAAATAAAAACAAAATAAATAAAAAAAAATGCACTGACATGGAGAGATCACATAACCAGCAATGGCGGGTCTCAACACTCCAAATACTGTGCCTCTTGTACATGTCATTACCTTGCTGATGTAGACAGTGCCGTCCCGTCTAGGACTGTCTTCAGTCATTGACACCACTGTCTGGCTTTTGTGTGGGGTCCACCCTGCCCCCCCCCCCGGAAGTGTGTACAGATGACATCTTGGGAAACCCTAAAGCCAGAGCCTGGGGCACCCTGTCATTTTCTAGGAACAGGATTAACTGGAGATACAGGTCTCCCCAAGCGGCCCCACCTTTTGTGGTAATCCCAGCGCCTTCCCCTGGGGTGACTCACTCAGAGAGGTCCCCACTTAGGTAGTCAGGAGTCCTTTTCTCCTTTTATGGCAGTCTGCAGGCAATGGAGAAGGCCCGTTCCCCGGCTCCTCTCTGGGAGCGTCCCTGTGCTCCACATCAGGTTGGGGCTGCCCGTGTTGTCTGCTGCCAGGCTGTGTTTCCGCTCTGTCTCTTACCACCTTTATTTTATTTTATTTTATTTTATTTAAAAAAAAATTTTTTTTTTCAACGTTTATTTATTTTTGGGACAGAGAGAGACAGAGCATGAACGGGGGAGGGGCAGAGAGAGAGGGAGACACAGAATCAGAAACAGGCTCCAGGCTCTGAGCCATCAGCCCAGAGCCCGACGCGGGGCTCGAACTCACGGACCGCGAGATCGTGACGTGGCTGAAGTCGGACGCTTAACCGACTGCGCCACCCAGGCGCCCCTCCTACCACCTTTAAACAAGCACGTCACGTTTCTCCCCTTCCCTGGGACAGGTCACTGTATAAGCCTTTTATTTATTTACTTCTTTTAATGTTTATTTGTTTTTGAGAGAGAGAGAGCGCGCACAAGTAGGGGAGGGGCAGAGAGAGAGAGAGAGAGAGAGAGAGAGAGAATCTATAGCAGGCTCCAGGCTCTGAGCTGTCAGCACAGAGCCGGACGCGGGGCTTGAACCCGTGAACCGTGAGATCATGACCTGAGCCGAAGTCAGACGCTTAACCGACTGAACCACCCAGGTGCCCCTGTGTAAGCCATTTAGATAGACCAGGATTCCATGACTGCTCCCAAAAGGCCAGACCCTCCCTCCGCCTCCAAATAGGTCTGGGGTGGGGAGGTCGTGATGCTCCCTCAGCATCCCAGGTCCTGAGCAAAAGGAAACAAAATAAAACAAAGCAAAGGAGTTACCTGCCCCCTGCAGAGGGGGACAAAGCCTCCTTCCTGCCTCCCTATACCCTCACAAGGGGGCCTGGAATCCGCCCCCAAGTTTCTGTAGGAAAAAGCAGAGATCATTTATGCCCTCTGAGTTCCCTTAGGGCCAAATGACACACAGCTTCAAACGCAGACAGAACCTGTTGAAAGCAGTTAAAACTATTCTTTTTGTGCCGATTCATGCCCTTGTGGTCGGGCCTTTGAAGGTTGCAAAGGTTTCGGCTTTATGTGTTGGCACACTTCTTGGCAGAAAAGTGCTCGGGGAGTCTCCGGAAGGAAGAGTGAAGCAGGTGGTGGGGATCGGGGTGGGCAAACCCGAGGTTCTCGGGCAGGCACTTGGCTTGGGCGGGAGGGCTCGCTCTGCCTGCCTCCAGGCGCGTGATGGGACACAGCCATGGTGGCACCACCCAGGACAAGAAGGGGCGACCACGAAGGCCTCACGTTGGTGGAGCACGAGCAGCGTCCCAGCTACAAGGGCAAGTTCACAGTCACGCCCGCTGTGTCATTCGATCCTCACAAAACCCCCATGAGTGAGGTGCCTCAGTTATCCCGATTTCACAGGTGAGGCAGTGGAAGTCAAGAGGCGCTAAGTAGATTTTCCACTGCCAAGTAGAAAACCTGGGGTCCCTACCCTTGGCTCCAGCTCGTACTACTTGTACGGTTATTCCGGGGGCAGGGGGGCTGGGCTCCACTGCACTGATAGACTGTGTGACCTTGATTAGGTGGCTTCACCGTATCATCTGTGAGATGGTGTTTACCTGCTGTGGGTGTGCTCGGGACGACAGGAGGTGGTCCACCTAAATGCTTGAAGTGACGGCCAGTTGCCGCACAGCAGACGTGCTCACCGCCTTTTTAGGGGATCTGTGCCGAGTTCGGCCCCAGCAGGTGCTGGCCCACAGCTTACCCTTCCTGTCGATTTCGGGCCCTCTGGGCTGGCTTCTGAGGCAGCTCCCAAGGTCAGAGTCTCCTTTCCATGGGACAAGAGTGAATAGTACATCGCTCCGGGGGACATTCTGGGTTTACCCCATAACTTGTTCTTCCTTCTCCTCAGGCTGAACTTCGGGACACCCAGTTAGAGCTGGAACGGAAACTCAGGTTGAATGAAAACGCCATCGCCAGGCTCCAAGCCAACCACAAATCTGTTTTGGTAAGGCTGGCCCATCTGGGGTTGTGGGACATGGGGTCACAGGCCCAGCCTCCCTGTCCATGGGCACCTTGGCGTTTCTCAGCAGATGGGGATTATAGGTATGGATACGATTGGCTACGCCACGGGATAGCCTCACCTCGCTGTCAGCTTTTGCTATGAAATTAGTTTAAGGTTCAAGACTGGCAAGTGATTGACTTTTTAATAATACAGAGTAGAGCAAGTCTAATCCTATAATAACAACATTCCTGTTTTTACATTTGCATATGCTTTTCTGACCAGGAGAAAGGGGTGTGTGTAGGAGCAGAGGGGGTAGAACTCCAGGAATCAGGCAGAGTCTGGCTTTCTTCCATCATGGAAGAGTGTTTTGCATGTGAATGTCACCAGTCCTGTGTCCTGGCAGCCAGAAAAAAAAAGAGTGGAGAACTGCTTGATTAGTGGATGGTGATTAGTGCCCGGCGACTTAGTTTTAGTCTGTCTCGTATATGGCCATTTTCCATATACAGTGTAAATAGAGCCAAACAGTTCCACAAATATTTCTCAGTAGTGGAAAGCCAATAACCATCACTCAGAAGAGAATCCCAAACGCCTAAGCTATGGTAGTGAGTCAGCAGCAGCATCTTTGCATACCTTGAATGATTCAATCCATCTTTCCTTCCTTCCTTCCTTCCTTCCTTCCTTCCTTCCTTCCTTCCTTCCTTCCTTCCATCCATCTTTCCATCCATCCATGCATCCATCCATCCATCCATCCATCCATCCATCTTTCCATCCATCCATGCATCCATCCATCCATCCATCCATCCATCCTTCCATCCATCCATCCATCCATCCATCCATCCATCCATCCATTTCAACTTAATTTTCTCCTTCTCAATGTTTACAAATAACTAGCCATGAACGATCAATACCTCTTTTGCATCCACATCAACTTATGAAAAGAAGAAAGATAGTTGTTCCCTTAAAGTCTTATACACCTTCAGAATTGTTGATTTCCAGGCTCAGGATAATCTAGAGAACCACATGGAGCATCTTGCCTTTTCTCTAGCCCTTTATTTTTCAGACAGTTTGATCCCTACTCAACTCTTCTCATAATTATGTGGTAACTTGGGGAGGTAGTTATCACAATGGCCACCAAGTACAAGGGACATGAACACACAGACAGATGACAAGACTTGCCTGGTGCCCCCAGATGGATGGAACAGGAGGACCTGGCATTATTTCTCCCTGGACCTAAGAAACTCGGGACATGTACAGGCTTGTGCACCGTTCTCAACCTCTTTAAACCATTAACTTTGGTATTTTGGTAGGCTTGTGGCCCCTCCTCTCTTTAATTTTTATTTGTCATCATTTGGGCAGTAAGTGATAATGCTTTGCACATTCCGTTTACATGCAAGGAAGAAGTATTTCTCCATGAAACAGTTTAGGAATGAGAGGTCACATAGGACAGCAGCAGAGTCAGTCTGCCAACATCAATTGAGGCCTCTCCTCCACCGCCCTTTCTCAGGAAGGCCTTGGTGGAGGAGAGGGGATTGGGACCCTGAAGTCTGTCTTTAGACTTCTATGAGAAACTTGTCATGGTTCTACTACTACTTCTCCTTCTCCTTCCCCTCCTCCTCCTCCTCCTTCTTCTTCTTCCTCCTTCATCTTCTCCTTCTCCTTCTCCTTCTCCTTCTCCTTCTTCTTCTTCTCCTTCTCCTTCTTCTCCTTCTTTTCCTTCTTCGTCTTCTTTCTTCTTCTTCTTCTTCTTCTTCTTCTTCTTCTTCTTCTTCTTTTCTCCTCTCCCTCCTCCTCCTCCTCCTCCTCCTCCTCCCCCTCCTCTTCCTCCTCCTCCTTCTCCTCCTCCTCCCCTGTCTTCTTCCTATTATTATTAGAGAGAGAAAAAGAAAGAGTTTGGATGGGGGAGAGGGGCAGAGAGAGAGAGAGAGAGAGAGAGAGAGAGAGAATGATAGAATCCCAAGTAGGCTCCATGCTCAGTGTGAAGTCTGATGCGAGACTTGATCCCATGACCCCAGGATCATAACCCGAGCCAAAATCAAGAGTCAGATGCTTAACCAACTGAACCAGCCAGGCACCCCCGATCAGGGAATTTTGAAGAACAAGATTTATTACTCGGAGGTCATGGAGGACACAGACTGCTGCCTGAAGGTCACATGGTGACACCTTGAGGTGGCCGGCAGAGAGAGAGGAGGGGAGAAACTGCAGACCTGGGGTCTGCCTTTATTGGGGTCAAGGGTGGTGTCTAGGGTGTCACGGGCGGTTCACTCCTTACTGGCTTATTTAAAGCACGAGAACAGCAATTTGGGCTCGGGAAGAAGTGAGGTCACTCAAGGGGCAGTTATTTCGGTTCTGCCAGGGATTTCTGAAAGGGGGAGCTTCCTGAGTGAGGGTGGCCCGATTCCTTATCTGGTTGTTTTGCTTGAAGCCGTGCCACACAGCTGGCAATGTTTATTCCAGGCGGATGTCTTTTGAAACGGATGCTTCAGGGGCGCCCGGGTGGTTCAGTCGGTTAAGCTGCCAACTCTTGATTTCGGCTCAGGTCGTGATCTCACGGCTCATGAGTTTGAGCCCTGCATTGGGCTCTGTGCTGTCACTGTGGAGCCTGCTTGAGATTCTCTGTCTCCCTCTCTCTCTGTCCCTCCCCTGCTCACTCTCTCTCCCTTAAAAATAAATAAATGAACATATAAAAATAAATGGACGCTTCAGGGATGACAAACTTAATGTCAGGCACGTACGTGACAGCTGCTGTTCTCCACGGGCTCTTTCCGGTCTGTGCTTGAGTTTGGAGAAGACCTTCCCATCTGCCTTCTTACTTAGCCCCGATTACCAGCTCATTTGTTTCCAGTTCCATTCAGCTGCTCCAACGTGGAGGAAGCCAATAGATGATGGGGCAGTTGGCATAAAAATGACAATGTAGAGAGAGGCTCTACCCAGCTCCCCACCCCTAGTTAATTTAAGATGGCCCTTGCTTCCTTTCCCCTCTTCCTTCCTCCCTGCACCATCAGATCAAAGATTCAGCCGCCACTAGGCATTCCTGTGGGCTGCGTACCTGAGTCTTGGCCAAGCAAGGTCTCTGTCCAAGCAGAGGTCCTGTTACCTGGTGTCATCATTTCTCCCCATCTCCCTCCAAACCTAAGGCTTCCACATGCCCTGGGCCAAGGGCGTCATCCTTTTGGAGTCCTTTCCTTACCAGTCCCCCCCTTATTCTCCTCCTCCCCTCCCCCCATCTTCCCTGCCGGGGGACTGAGTGCTGAGGCACCGTTTTGGCTCCCCGTGGATGCCCAGGGAGCATCCTTACTCTCGCTCTCAGGAGGAGAAACAGAAAAGAGCACCTGGAGGGGTTGCTCAGATTGCTCTCAGATGGGATTGGCGTGGGTGGGGACAATGGGGGAGACTGAGGCAGGCAGAGAACGAGCTCTGGGCTGTGGAGTGAGGTCAAGGGAATAGGAGCAAAGGAAAGTGTGTCCCAAGACCGCTAGATGAAGTTTAGTAAGGTGATCATGTTTGTGCAATGAGATGAAATGGGACAGCATCAGAGGGGGCTGTCAGCACCGGTGCCGAGGAACGATTTACACTTGGATTGAGGTTAGAAACACGATATTGACTGAAGGCATTTTGTAAAGGCTGTTCCTCCTCCAGAAGGATAGAGGGCACGTGCAGACACGCACAAATACCGTCATGCAAACCCTTCCTGTTCATCACAGGGGCGTTGGTCTGTATTTTACTCGGACGTCACATTCTGTTCTACACACGTATGCTTATCCTGCTGTGCTCAGGTGCCTAACCCCCTAAACATTTTGTGCTTGGAGGAGACACCACAAGCTTAGATGGATGTGCTCTTGGTTCTGACGGGCTCAGTGGGCGGTTTAACCCGACGTAATGAAATCCTGAGAAAGCGAATTCATGCTACTGACTCGTACAAAGCAGCCAACCTAGTAGTTTACCACCAGAAATGTAATTCTCAAGTATGCTGAATGCATGCATTGCCCTGGTAGGAAAATCAGTTTCAGAAACTTGAACAGTAGCCCCAGACTGTCAGAGCCCGCCCCCCCCCCCCCCCCCCCCCCCTCGGGTCTCAGAGATCATCAAACGTAAGAGAGATGATGGTGCATAAGTACCTGCACCCTGAAAAGTAAATCCTTTTTTTTTTCCCCAGGAACCTAGGATTCATATGAGAATAAAAGGCTGCCTTTTAAATTTTTTTTATTTTTTATTAACAAAATTATTTTAATGTTTATTTACGTTTGAGAGGGAGAGAGACAGAATGCGAGCGGGGAAGGGGCAGAGAGAGAGGGAGACACAGAATCTGAAGCAGGCTCCGGGCTCCGAGCTGTCAGCAGAGAGCCCGACGCGGGGCTGGAACTCACCAACCGCGAGATCACCTGAGCCAAAGTCAGACGCTTAACCGACTGAGCCACCCAGGCGCCCCAAAGGCAGCCTTTTGTTATAGAAAATTGCTCCCCAGGTTGCGGGTTGCTCGGCTTTACGGGTCTGTGTGTGGAGCTTCGATAAAGTCGAAGCCTTGCTAACATCTTCTTCGCCGCCCCCTCCCTCACCAGGTGTCAGTGTCGGAGGTGAAGGCGGTGGCCGAGGAGCAGTTTGGGGAGCTGCTTGCTGCCGTGAGGAAGGCCCAGACCGACGTGATGCTCTTCTTGGAGGAGAAGGAGCAAGCGGCACTGAGCCAGGCCAGCGGCATCCGGACGCATCTGGAGCACAGGAGCGCACAGATGGAGCGCAGGAGGCAGGAGCTGGAGAGCATTGCCTCCATCAGTAACACCGCCCTCTTCCTGGAGGTGCGGGCGGGGGCGGGGCCCGAGGCACCCATCCCTGGTGCTCTGCTCGCTCTGCTGGGTCTGTGCCAGAGGTGGGGAATGCGGGACTGGAACTGCTCTTTTTAAAACTTACTTCTTTATTTTGAGAGGGAGAGAGGAGAGAGAGCAGGAGGGGCAGAGAGGGGGAGAGAGAGAATCCCAAGCAGGTTCTGTGCTGGAGGCGCGGAGCCTGACGCGGGGCTGGAGCTCCCGAAGCGCGAGATCGTGACCTGAGCCTAAAACAAGGGTCTGGTGCTCGACCGACCGAGACACCCGGGAGCCCCTAGAACTGCTCTTCGATAAATGGGGTGCACGGGACGCTGTGGGACCGGAGAGAAGTAGGTGTTAGCAGAGAACAGGAATACAGGAGCGGAAAGGAAGACTCCCCAGAGTGGGAGACTGGAACTGGGTCATGGAAGAGAAGTCATGTCCAAAGAGACAGAACAGCCTGTGCTCAGGCAGGGAGGTTTGAGAAAGCACCACCGCGGTGCCTGGGTGGCTCAGTCGGTTGAGCGACCGACGTGGGCTCAGGTCACGATCTCACGGTTCGTGGGTTCAGGCCCCGCGTTGGGCTCTGTGCCGACAGCTCGGAGCCTGAAGCCTGCCTCTGATTCTGTGTCTCCCTCGCTCTCTACCCCTCCCCCGCTCATGCTCTGTCTCTCTCTCTCTGTCTCAGAAATAAATAAACATTAAAAAAAAATTAAAAAAGAAAAAAGAAAACACCACTGATGTGGGGAATTAGGCGCTTTCACAAGGAGGGGGCGTGGGCTGCTGGGCACATAGTGATGGAAACGAGGCTCACGGGGCCAGGCAGGCATCTGACTGCGAGAGAACGTAGTTCTTCTACGTGAAGTCACCAACACCACCAGTGGAGAATTTCAGATGAGAGAGGAGTGAGCTGGTATCAGTATGCCCGGCAGGGGTGAGGCTGGGGAACCTCTTGCCTTTCAGAGAGGGGCTGCGTGTGCTGGTTGATTGAGGAAAGCCGGGCAGGCAGAGGAGACGAGACTTTCATCACGGGGCCACGCGGTATTCGCTAAGCCACATGCCATTAGGGCCAGACCTGAGGACATGTCATCTTGCAGGGACTGGGTGTAAATTCCATCCTCTCAGATCTGTCACTAGATAGCCGGGCAGTGTATAACCAAGTGAGTTAATTTTTCTGGGTCTCAAATTCCTCATTTACCAGACAATCAGCTCAGAGTCAATAACTTTCGAGGCTCCTTCTAGTCTAATATCCCTAAAAATAACTGAAAAAAATTTGTTTTGATTTATTTTTCTTCGGTAAACGCTATGGCCAATGTGGGGCTCGAACTCACCACCCCGAGATCAAGAGTCAAATGGTCTACCCACAGAGCCAGCCAGGGGCCCCCAAATAATTTTTCTTTAAAA